GGCTGCACGTCTCCTTTGACCTGCGTCGGGGCTGCTACCTTGTCCTGTTTCCGTCAGCCCAGGAGAGGCTCTGCTCCCCCGTGGGTCGTAGCTGTTCCCTCAGGCGTGTCTCCCGTGTGGATTGCGCGGCCAGGTCCTGTTCTCTGAGTTGCAGCTGGAGAGCTTTTCCGTCCGCGGGCGAGGTGAGCCCGTCCCCTGTCTTGGTGTAGCTGGCGTGGCCGGCCTCCGTGCGTCTGTTCCGCAGCTGCTGCGGTGGGTTTGTGAGATGCGTGTTCTTTGCCCCTTAACTGAAATGTTTGTTTCTACTTGGGGACGTGTGTCGTCGTGTTCTAGGGGTTACTTGTGTCTGAAGCCTTTCTGGATGTCCTCGGCCCCCGGGTCTTGGCTCAGGTCCGCCTTCTCCTGCAGCCCCACGCGTGGAGGCACCGGCGCGCGTTCCGTGCTGGGTCCGCCCCTTTCTTTTGCTGCTGCGTCGGCTCTGCTCTCTCGCCCGCACGCAGCCTCCTGCCTTCGCCCTGGCACCGGACGCACGTTTGTACAAGTGCTGACTTCGCCTGTCTTTTCCTGCGGTTTCCCCGCCCTTTCTCACTGGGATGACCCCCCGTGCGTGGCGGAGCCCTCATGAAGGCCTCAGGGGCAGCGTCCCCTGAGCGGTTCACGTTGGAACGGGTTTTCTGTGGCTCGATGTGGAGGACAGCCACGCTGGGTGTAAAATTGCTGGGTCACGTTTGCGTTCCGCGGGTGTTAACGCTGCTCCGCTGCGTCCTGTGTTGGCGGAGAAGCCTGAGGCCAGGCTGGCCTTCTCACCTTCACCGTTAGTGTTCTCCTGTCACCTGGAGGCCTTCCGCTTGGGAAGCTGACGGTTCCACGGGGCCGTGTCAAAGTCGACTTTTACGGGTTAATAATTTTCCCAGGTGCCCTTTGAGTCCACGTAGGTTGGTTTTTCCCACTTCTTGACCGGTTCCCCGGATCGCAGCTCAGGTGCCGCCCCTGCCTCCCCTCTGGCCGCGCAGCCGGGGCCCGGGTGGCTCCGGGCGCGTCCTCCG